CATTGTCCAAGGAGCAGTTCTTGAAGATTAATGGCTTCCCAAACACTTACTGGGGCTGGGGTGGTGAGGACGACGATATGTATAAGCGAATTATCCTCCGTGGAATGTCCATTTCTCGACCTGACATGGTGACAGGAAAGTACAGGATGGTCAAACATAAGAGAGACCTGCACAATGAAGCTAACCCAAAGAATCCTGACAAGATGCACCAAACCCATTTGACCATGAATGAAGATGGGATTAATTCCTTAAAGTATACAGTCAAGGAGATTGTGAGGGATAAACTGTTCACTTATATCAATGTGGATATTCATGCTCCACCAAGCTGAATGAGGATCGAACCTGTGGATCTACTGTCTCAAACAAAAGGAGGTGAAACTGATGTGATTTTATGTCTTAACATCTCTGGGGATCAAGTTCTTTTGTCTATTATCGTTGATTTTTTTTTTTTTTTTTTAAGATCACTGAATATCATATGACAAAAAACACTACTGTACACCTTAGTTTTTGTATATTGTTTCTCATTTACACAATTATTCTAAATGTCATGATTCTGTGTGAAGACATTTGTCCCAACTGTATAATGCAGTAACAACTTATTTGTTTTGTTCAGTGATGCAGTGGCTGATGTTTCCTTTTCTTATTTTAAGATATTTACTGCTTTAAGTTATTTGTGTTTTTTTTTGTTTTGTTTTCTAACTGTGTTTCAGAAAATCAAGAAGGGCTGAAATAAAATGCATGGCCACCATGGTCCAACAGTGAGGTTGCCCATAGTATCAAAACTAAATTAGATTTATGGTGAGCACACTGGGAATGAGTTACAAACTACCAACACATTCTCACTCCGACCTCGTCACATATTGGCGTTTTGGCCATGGACTTTCCACATCCAGATATGACATGCAACGTACCCTGGGCGTGTTGGTTGTTGACATTCTGCCTGTTACATGCATTGTCTACTTTCAAAATACACTTCCGCTTTCACAGGAAGTTAACCATTTACATACAGTCTCTTTCAAAATAAATGCCCTACGTCAGTACAACACATGGATTGACCTTTTTTTTCCCCCCTCTAACAACTAAGGCACATGGTTAGGTTTAGAATTAAAGAATAGGATTTGGCTTTATAATCTTACAGGAGGCGTTCCCGTCCCAACTTTTTTGGATTGTGTTGCAGGCATCTAATTGAGAATGAGTGAAAATGTACAAAAACAAAAAGTATATCAGTTTGAACTTTTAAAATCTTGTCTTTCTACTGTAGTCAATTGAAAACAGGTAGAAAGGATCTGGAAAATCATTAAATTCTGTTTGTACTGTCTTACACAGCGTTTCAGCATTTTAGAATTTGGGTTTATACTATTACTATACTATACTATTAAAAGAACTATAATGACAGTATTGTACACTTTTAATTCAATTTATTGATTAGATTCTGGGAAACCCACGAGGAAACAAATCTTAAACACCATGATTAATACAGCAGGTATGAGGCCCAACCTGAACAGCTTACAGTAACAAGGAGGCTGCACCCAAAGAAAATAAAACTTGCCTGGCTGCTCTTTTGCTTGGAACATACTTGATTTGCCAAGAGAGGTTTGGGTAGAGGAGCTGTATGAGAGCTGCTGAGTGAGCAGTACTCAACGTCAAAGGAGGCAAAAATGCTGAAAAAGCTCTTTAACATCCTGGTCTTTTTTACTATCTTCAGTTTGGCATGTTTTATTGTGCTTCTATTCCACAGCCAAAACAACACTTTAATTTGTTTTACAAAGCCACAACATATGGCAAATGGAGACAACACACCTGAACATGTTCAACTGAGGACTACTGCAATCAAGACCCTGGGACCCTGCCCTGACACCCCTCCAAATCTTGTGGGTTCACTCCATGTAAAGCTTTATCCTAAACTGACTTTGGACGATGTGAGAAAGGAGGTCGGACCTCGTCTTCAAGAAGGAGGACGGCACAAACCACCAGACTGTATTGCCCAACAGAAGGTAGGTGAATAAATGGAGAGTAAAAATGAATAAATGAACAGAATAAAAACTAGAACAGTTTACCATGATTTTAGATACCTGAAATCAGTTTTCTGGCACACCTGTCTCGTTAGGTCTTGCCTGTTCCCTGAGTCTTCCTTTCACACCTGTTCTGTATTGGTCTTGTCTGCTCCATTCTTCTTGTCAGCCAATCCCTGTTTCACTCCTTTTGCCCATCTCTTCCTTCTCCAGCTGTGTCTCATTCTTGTGTTTATATACCTGTGTGTTTCCCTTTGTCCTGGGTCAGTCCGTCTGCGTACCTCTGCGTATCTTCTGCGTCCGTCTGTGTACCTTCTGTGTTCATCATTCCTGCCATCATGCATCCATCCCTGGTCTTCATGTCTTTTCCTGGTTGGTTTTAGTTTGGATTTTTGTTCTGCTCCCAGATGTTTTTTTGAGTTGCCTGTAACTTACTTATTTCACTTGTTTAGGTGGCGATCATCATCCCATTCAGAAATAGGCATGAGCACCTTAAGCACTGGCTGTATTACCTCCATCCTATTTTGATGCGACAGCAGTCGGACTACAGTGTGTATGTCATCAACCAGGATGGAGAGGGAGTGTTTAACCGGGCGAAACTGATGAACGCAGGCTACGCTGAAGCACTGAAGGAATATGATTTTGAGTGCTTTGTCTTCTCTGACGTAGATCTGGTTCCTATGGATGACCGTAACCTCTACAG